CCCCCCCCCAAAAAAAAAACCAAACCCAGGCATCTACATTACTGGCTGTCAAAGCTTGGGAAAGTTCTCCTTTGGATTGCAACAAACTAGTGACCATCAGAGCTCAGAAAAAGCTTCCTTGTTTGGACTACAACTCCCAGAATCCCCAAGCCTGCATTGCTGGGGGATTCTGGAAGTTGCAATCCTAAGAAATAATTCTTCCAAGCTCTAGGACCAGGTTAAGGAAGGCTGTGCATGACTCTCTCTGCACCCCACCTTCCTTTTTGTTTTCACAACCTGCAGTAAAGGGAGTGTGGGCGTCTGATAAAGGAGAGGTCTCTGCCATTTTGAGCAAGAGTGTCATGTCTGGGTCCTTGTGTATGTACTGGCACCAAAGCCGCCATCTTCTTCACTCCTTCCCCTTCTCTTTTTCCTCTCCTTGCCCAGATCTGTTTCCTGATGACGGTGAACGTGATCGGACAGCGCATGAATTTCATGGTGATCTTCCATGGCTGCTGGTTGGTTGTCATCTTGACCCGTCGCCGGCGGCATGCCATTGCCAAACTCTGGCCCAAGTACTGCCTCTTCTTGGCTCTCTTCCTCATCTTCCAGTACCTCCTCTGTGTCGGTATTCCTCCGGTGCTCTGCATTGGTAAGTGGAAGAATGATTATCCATAAACGCTTAACCAGAAAGTTATGATGCTTAACTGGTTAATGTTTAACCAGAAAGCCAAGTGAGCCTGCCATGCTGGTTGATGACCAATTTTCACTGCAATCTAGAAAATGAGCAAAACAATTGGCTGATCTTACTTGTTGATTTATTAAGCTATTTATAAAATATATAAAATTATTATTATCATCACCATCATTATCATCATCATCCTGCTTTCTGTCTGAAGAGGCTGGGAATGATAGGTGCTGTAATCCAAAACATTGGGAGATCTTCAGATTGCCTACTCTCTATCCCTTAAAGCAGTGTTTCCCAAACTTTGGTCCTCCAGGTGTTTGGGACTTCAACTCCCAGAGTTGCTTAGCCAACTGGAAGGAAGTCTGGGAGCTGACTTCCAAAACATCTGGAAGACCCACATTTGGGAAACATCTCTCTAAAGGGAAGGGCTGGAAAAGGGGGGGGGATAGAAGTGGCTGGAAGTAGTAAAGGGATGTGTGTTTGATGGCACATCCTCAGCTGGATCGGCAATGGATCCAGCCCCCCGAGGACTTTGTACCGGCCCCAGGCCGGTCCTGGTGCCGCTGCGCGTGTCGCGAGCACCATTTTGTTTTCCAAAATGGCGGCTGCGACTCACTCACACATGCAGCGCCATTCCCCCCCCCCCTCGGCCCGGCGGAAGACCTGGGGACCAGCAACCGGCCCCAGGTAGGAAAATGTTGCCGACCCCTGGACTAACCTAAGCTGCCCTTCACTACCTACTGTTGTGTTTTTGGCTCTTTCCTCCTCCCCTAGATTATCCTTGGCGGTGGAGCCATGCCATCCCTATCAACTCCGTCCTCATCAAATGGATGTACTTACCTGACTTCTTCATGAAACCCAATTCCATCAATCTGATGAGTGAGTACCTTGAAATACATCAAGGGCTTTTTTTTAGGCACCAGAATTCTCAGGGGGGGGGGGAATCACAGCCGATTGTTGTTGTTGTTGTGTTGTTGTGTGCCTTCAAGTTGTTTCCAACTTACGGTGACTGTGTCTAAGGGTTTTCTTGGCAAGTTTCTTCAGAGAGGGTTTGCCATTGCCCTCCTTTGAGGCTGAGAGCGTGTGACTTGCCCAAGGTCACCCAATGGGTTTCCATGGCTGAGCTGGGACTTGAAACCTGGTCTCTAGAGTTACAGTCTGAGCTCATACCACTACACTACCAAGGCTCTGTCCCCTGAAGCCCCCGAGAAGCACTGCTACTAATTGGTGTAGAGCAGTGATTCCCAAACCTTGGTCCTCCAGGTGTTTTGGCCTTCAGCTCCCAGATGCCCCAGCCAGCTTGGCCAATAGTCAGGAAGTCTGGGAGTTGAAGTCCAAAACATCTGGAGGACCAAAGCTTGGGAGTCACTGTCCTGGCCAAAAGGGACCCTCCATCGGACTTAGCGTCAGTCCTTTCTGAAGCCCTTCCATGCGCTGGATGCGTTTTTTAAAACCCTGCATGCTTCCCCCCAGGTGACTTCCTGCTTCTCCTCTGTGCCTCACAGCAGTGGAAAGTTTTTGTCAATGAAGAGACGGAGGAATGGATACGACTGGCGGGGGATAACAAGGAGCAACTGGAAGGTCTGCGGGGAGAACCAAACCCTGTGCCCAATTTTGTCAATTGCAGGTAAGTGCAAAGCATGGGCTCCCTTTGAGATCAGCCCCATCCTCCCTCTGCTGTTACCCTTGGGCTGGCTTTCCCTTATTTCTCTGCTTTTTAAGCTCAGGGAATTTCTTTTCTTCTTCTTCTTCTTCTTCTTCTTCTTCTACTACTACTACTACTACTATTGTTATTTGATGCATGCAGATTTATGTCTTTTTTGTAAAATAATTTTTATTGTGTACATAAAAAACATTCCGCTCATTAACAAAGATACCTACAAAACATACATAGAATACCTAAAAGGTTCCTTACCCACATTTCACATTACATATTGCTGCTAGCAATCCCATTGCCCTTATATTCTTAATCAACACATTTCCTTCTCTTTCATCCCATCCAAACCCATTTATCCACTTTTCTTTTGCCTCCCTTCAACCTCCTTCCAACCCATCTTCTTACCTACTCATACTTTCTTCTTCACATACTCTCACCCTCTTCACAACGTACTTTTTCAATTCATTCCTACTTCTTTCCTTTAAGTACTGACTGCATTGTAGTTGCATTTATGGCTTTCTTTGATCAAACTCATTCTTTGACTCAATCAGCTCTTCAGCCTCCGCTTTCTACTTATAATGCAGTTATCTAATCACTAATGCTTATCTCATACAAATATCCCTTTCCCCCTCCTCTTCTTTCTATTCTTTCTATTTAATTCTTTTAAATGTTCATTGTACCTCACTTCTCCCTTAAACAGATTCATGTCTTGTGATTAGGGTTGCCAGATAGAAAACCAGAGAGGGTTCCTGACCCTTTAACAATTGTGTAGGACAGGGAATTTCAGCAGATGTCACTTGTTACTTGGTTCTGTTACAAACACTTGCTGAAATTCACTGGTGAATAATAATAATAATAATAATAATAATGCATTCTCTTCGTCTCTGGACACTCATCCACCCCACTTTCTGTTCTTAATCTCTCCTCCCCATCCAGATCTTACCTGGACATGCTGAAGCTCTGCGTCTTCCGTTATCTCTTCTGGTTCGTCCTGGTCATCGTCTTCGTAGCAGGCGCCAACCGCATCAGCGTCTTTGGTCTGGGCTACCTGATGGCTTGCTTCTACTTGCTACTTTTTGGCACAGCCATGTTGCGCAAACCACTCCGGTCCCGCCTGGTTCTCTGGGATTGCTTGATCATCTACAACGTCACGGTCATCATTGTCAAGAACTTGCTGGCGGTAGGATCCGTAGGGTGAAAAGGTTTCTGTGCCGTGGAGGGCAGTGACACCTTGGGGTTTTCGGTTGTCTCTGTAGTTCTGAGCCCACTCTGGGTTTTAGTCTGAACTTTAAAGGCACTGTCTAAGATGCACCACTACTCTGGGGGGATAGGGTTAAGGGACAGGATAGGGGCAGCTTGCGGCCCTTTTGTCTTTGTGGGGAATCCACTTTGGCTTTTCTTCTGAACTTGAAAGGCATCGTCTAAGGTGCAGAACCTATTTATAGTTATCCTCAAAATATCTATGAACTAATTTTTCTTTTGATGGACAGGCTGTCAGCATCTTGGATGGCTCCTTTAAAGTTTGCACCAAAACCCAGAGTGTGCTTTCTCTGTGTTAAAGACAGGCTTCTTTGAAGCCTGGATTAAAAGCCAGAGAGGACTCACCATTCCAGCTGTTAGGCTGTAATGCACCCCAGTCTTTTTAATATTCCATGCCTCTCATATGTGATGGCTCCTTTCCCCCAATTTCTTCCCTGCCAGCTCCTGTCCTGCGTCTTCGTCCAGCAAATGCAGAACAACTTTTGCTGGGTGATCCAGCTCTTCAGCCTGGCCTGCACAGTCAAGGGCTATTACGACCGTGAGTATCTGCAAGGGATTGTGGCCCTAGCAAGGATGGGATCCGAGTCTGTCTTTCTGGGTTCTTTTACTCCTTTTCTAGACACAATCTGCTGAAGTCCTCCAAAGTTCTCAGCAGCTGATCCCATCATTTTGCATCTGGCTACACAGGGGTAGGCAACCTTTTTGAGCTGGGGGCCGGGTTGCTGTCCCTCAGACAATTGGCGGGCCGAAGCAAAATAATAAAATAATAAAAATAATAAAAATAAAATAAAATAAAATTTAAAAATATGCATGCACACTCTCTCAGCCCCAGAAAAGCCATGATGGCAAAACCCCTGTGGAGATTTTGCCAAGAAAACCCCAAGAACAAATAATAACAACAATAATCAATATCATCATGGCGGGGGAGTCAGGACCAGCCTGGGCCGGCTCAAAGGACTCATGGGGCCGCATCCGGCCCCCGGGCCGCAGGTTGCCTACCCCTGGGCTACAGAGACACAGCCAGATGCTTCTGCTCAATACCAGGCGCAAATGGAGGAAGGGCATGCCAATCTCTGTAGAGAGCACAAATTGACATGTATGTGTATGTGCCTTCAAGTCACCTGTTGTCTTTTGGTGACCCCATGAATTTCACAGGATTTTCTTAGTCAAAGAAGACTCAGAAGTGGTTTTGCCAGTTCCTTCCTTTGAAATATAGCTTAACAGCACCTGCTGCTCCTTGGAGGTCTCCCATCTAAGTGCTAACCAGAGCTGAGCATGCTTAACTTCCAAGATCAGATGGGATCTGGTGCCTTTAGGGAAGTCTGTTGCTGTGCTGATAATACATATATAGTGTTGTTATTATATATTCAAATCGACTTCACCTTATGGCAACCCCATGAATTCCATAGGGCTTTCTTAGGAAGACTCAGAGGTGGTTTCATCCTTCCTCTGAAAAATAGTCCTCTACAGCTCCTGGTTGGTAGTCTCCCATTCAAGTACTAACCAAGGCTGACCCAACTTAGCTTCCAAGATCAGATACGTAGGTATAAAGTTAGTCCATGCCAATCACTGGATGCCAGTTTCTGGGTATTTGTAGTTGGAAGCCTCCCTCTAGTCTCAGAGAAATGGGGACGGGAAGAGATAATGCTTTGCTCCTGAGGGTCTCCTTCTTTTCCATCTCTTCGTTGCCAGCCAAGGCTCTGGACAAAAGCCAGGACTGTGTGCTGCCGGTGGAAGAAGCTGGCATCATCTGGGATAGCATCTGCTTCTTTTTCCTGCTTCTCCAGCGCCAGGTCTTCCTCAGCTACTATTTCGTGCATGTGATGGCCGACCTCCAGGCCTCAGCCCTGCAAGCCTCCAGGTGAGTAGACTGGGCTTGGTTTGGCACAGGAAGGCAAAGATAGGAGGAGATGGAGGCCATCAAAGGTGGAGGCAAGAGCCCACAGCCCCACTCTGCAACTTCTCCAGATAGACTGCCTCTGAAGGTGGAGGTTGCATTCCCAACCACCGTAAACAGGGAGTCAAGAGACGCTTTTTAATCATGTCTTTTTAAAGTAATTGTTGTTGTTTCTGACTTATGGCGACCCTAAGGTGGAAGCTATCATTGGGTTTTCTTAGCAAGTTTCTTCAGAGGGGTTTTGCCGTGGCCTTCCTCTGAGGCTGAGAGAGTGTGACTTGCCCTGGGTCACCCACTGGGTTTCATGGCCGAGTCGGGATTTAAACCCTGGTCTCCAAAGCCGTAGTCCAATGCTCAAACCATGCTGTATTGCTGAGAACTCGAATGGATCATACTGACTAGAGGCTGGTTCAAGGCTTTTGGGAGATGCAGTCCCCATGCTTTGAACATGAAAGTTGTGTCGGTCTTGGTCTGGCTTTGGTTGAGACCTATTTTGTCTCTCTTTGCAGGGGTTTTGCACTTTACAAGGCCAGGATGATCAAGCGGATGAGCTCCCACCACCAGGCAGAGAAGAAGTCCTTAGTCCAGCTGAAGCGGCAGTGAGTTTTGGGGGGCAGCTTGGAGGAAGCACGGTCTTGTTTTACCCATTTCGGG